AGGCTCACACATACCTTTATGTGCTGGTTGGGGCACAAAATATTGTGATGGCCTTGGAGCATGAGGCTGGGCAGGGGCAGGCTCCAGCTCTGCTGCGTCTCGGTGACTGTTGATTAGTCACAGACCTCTCCTTCCCCAGCGTGACCCCTCTGCTGATTTCCCCCCCCCCCTCCCAGCTACCCTTGAAAGGCCTGGGATGGCCCAGTCTGGATCCCGTTGATCTGGGATCCCTGCTGTGTGGTCTGAGGCTGGGGATTGCTGTGTGGGCAGCCTCGGGCAGAAACCTGTGCCGGGGAAAAGAAAAGGTTGTCCTTTTGGTGCTGGTAATGGTTTTGGGAGATTTTTTTTGTGGGGCTAGGACCAGCCCCGCTGGCCTGTTCCTGAGTGTGGGCAGGAGCCCTGATGACTTCTGCGGGTTTACCAGCCTGCTGATACAGACGGCAGGAAAACAGCTCACTGACAAGCAGCGTGATGATGTACCTGTGCAGAGGATTCAGCATGACTTTTGCAGCCCCAGTTCAGATCTGGGGAGCCAGGAACCATTGGAGGATGAGGTTTAGGTCCCCAGGCTGGTGAGATGGGGACAAGGTGGTGAGTTCTGAGTAGGTGTTTGATGCCCAAGCTGCAGCAGGGAAGCCTCAGTCCTGTAACAAGTGGTACAAGGGAAGTCCTTTGGTTGGGAATCTGACTTCCTCATGTGAGGACAACCTGTGTGTCTCCCTGTTCTCTGCTGAGTGCCTGGGCCCCAGATTAGCTGAGTAATGTCAGAGTACCGGTCTAGCAGACACAGCCGTGTTGAAACAGAAATCTCGGTCTCTGTAGGCGAGGTGGCATTTTTACTAGGAGAAAATTACTTGATAGCGACTCAAAGCCCAGCCAACCTCTTCCCCTTTGGGCTACCTTTTTCTGTTTCCTGTTCTGAAAAAAGACACGTCCTTTTGTAACTGCTTCCTCGTCCTCTTTTGGGCCTAGCGTGCTGGAGGCATGAGACAACTGGTCTGCCAGGATATCCGTTCCTGTGCTGGCATTAGGGAAAGCACCTGAGTTCCCCCCGACTGACGGGAGCTGTCAGAGCAACAGCAGTTACTGCCCTGCTTCACACTGTAGTGAGCAGGTGGGGGGACCTTTTCAACAGCGACCCCCAAGTAGCCCAAATTTTGAGATCTGCTTCCCCTTACAGTCCCTTATCCCTCTTCCCAAGTTTCCCCTTCAGCAGCTTCCCTCTATCACCCTCTATCCCTGTTTATTTACCCCTTCCCATTGGCAAAGTGTTTTGCTGACTTTGTACCCCAGTTTGGTATTTATTATACAGTTGCCAAAGTAATTTCCACCTGCATCGTCAGTTCAGTCAAGCTAACTCCTTGTTGTCATCTTCCTGCAATCTGACTTTTGTCATTTTCACGTTGCCATCTGGCTTGCACGCCCCAGGCTGGGCCAGTTGTCTGGGCATTACTGCCTCACAGAATCACAGAACGTTAGGGGTTGGAAGGCACCTCTGAAGATCATCCAGTCCAGCCTTCATCCCAGCACACCCAACCACTACACCACAGCCTCAAGTGCCAGATCTACTTTTCTTTTAAACACCTCCAGGGTTGGTGTCGTTGCGTACCCTGACGCAACTTGAGGCCATTTCCCCTTGTCCTGTCATTAGTAATTAGAGAGAAGAGACCAGCACAAACTTACCCTGACGCAACCTGAGGCCATTTCCCCTTGTCCTGTCAGTAGTAATTAGAAAGAAGAGACCAGCACCAGCCTCACTACAGCCTCCTTTTAGGTAGCTGTAGAGGGCAATAAGGTCTCCTCTCAGCCTCCTCTTCTCCAGACTAAACAAACCCAGCTCCCTCAGCCGCTCTCCATAGGGCCTGTTTTCCAGACCTCTCACAAGCCTTGTTGCCCTTCTCTGCACCCGCTCCAGCACCTCGATGTCCTCCCCCAGTTCCCCACGCTGTGACCTTGCTAGACAGGAGGAGTGAGCCACCACCTGCACTGCCCAGCAGACCCTCTCCCTCTGCCTGCTGGGCTCTCTGCCCTGTCCACAAGGGACCTGCCCTTGACATCTTGTCCCAAGCAGCTGCCTGGGGTGTAGCCTCCCACCAGGTACAGAGTGCTGGCCAGGGCGTGGGAAGAGCAGGTCCGTGGCCAGCAGAGCCCTGGGATCCCAGGGAAGGCGATGGCTCTGGTGGCCCTGCCTTCCTGCTGCAGTACCCCCCAGGAGCGCGGCGTTTGCGTCGTGCCCTTTGTCAGCTGCAGCTGTTTCTCAGGTCAGTGCTGGGATGGCTGCACACAGCGTGCGTTCAAAACCACAGGTGGTACACGTCACATAGTGCAAACTACAGGCATTATGGTGGATAACTTTACGGTGGATAACTTTATTTTGAAACCGCTTGCCAGAATGAAGTAAGTAGAACACAGATGCCTGCTGGTGCTCAGCACCCAGGAAGCCCCATGAGATCACCCCACCCTGGCTCACTCCAGCCACCCTCAGCTCCTGCCCTGCCAGAGGTGGCTGTCCCAGGTCTGCGCTGCAAAACAGGCGAGCTTCTGTGCAAGCAGGGAGCAGAAGCTCTCTGGAAAGCTCCGGGCCAACTTCCCCAATCTTCTGAACCCTGCCAGGAAGCACTTGCTGTGTTGGCTTGCAGAATGGCCCGAGGCACAGGTGGGCTGCAGGGAGGGCGCAGCAGCTGGCTGGAGAGCAGTGCCGTGCTGCAGCTCCAGCCATGGAGAGGTGTCACTGTTGGCACTTGCTGCAAACCCCTTTGTTAGTGGGGGAGTTGGACAGCAAGACCAGGTACGGGAGCAAGCAAATCGGCATCATCATGGGCAGTGCTGCTCTCAGGAGGGCAGCATTCTGGGCTTTAAGATTAAATTCGAAACCCCTGTTTTGCGCCTCTTCAAACACCCTGCTGAGCCTGCTCCTGCAGGATGAGGGCAGCTTGACATTACTGCCTGCTTCTTCCGTCTGACTTCCTTGCCGCCCTGCTTGCAGCTTTTCTGCACCCGCTGCCAGCAATCTGTGGTTTGTGGCCTGTACAGCTGAGTCTCAGAAACCGAAATTTGAGGCGTGCTGGTTATGTGCGCTGACACAAATGGGAAACGG